CACTGAGGTACTGCAGTGGAATATGTACGGGACACAGGGCAAGGAGGGGAGTAATCAGTTAAGTGGGAGCAGGTGTTTGACTGAAGCAGCTAGAAAGGAGCTAAGCGGAAAGGAAAGGGGCACTAGTGGGCAACAAAGAGTAACCATGGAAACCAGGATTTAACTATAGCTAGAAAATAATTTCAATAAGTCTAAAGGGGAATAAAACTAATGACTCCAACATAAGGAATGACCAAGGGGAAAACTAGAGGATAAGAGAAGGGACTGGAGATTATTGGATCCATGGAAAACATAACTAAAGGTAAGAGAAAGAATGACTACCTAAAACTAGACCAAGAAATAAATAACAGTAAAAAGGCTAAAAAGAAAACAAGGAAGAGAAAAACTAAGAATTCAAATATGATATACATCTATATAGAATAACATAAATTAAAGCATAACTGAGAACCCAAAATGAAAACGTACACAGAACCAAAAAGTCCAGAATGGCAGATCATGATATATATAAGGTTAAATCACAAAAACAGTGAAAATATTATTAGGCTAACAAAAAGCTTAAGCAAAGAAATATATTATACCCTAAAAGCATTTTTTTTTTAAATAGATCCCAGAGCAGCTCTAGAATCTGATCCTTTTTTTATGTGTGGGAGGTTGGGGGGTGAGGGGATTCTGTTCATTAGAGAGAAATAAAGTGTTGCAAACATTCCATCTTTTGACTTTCACCTGTACCCTCCAAGCAAGGTTTTGTGCACAATATTTTCAGAATTTTCTCCCCACCGCAGACTTTCAGAATGAAAGTTGTGCGCTCCTTTGAACATGAAGCCTCTGAAGCTGTGTTTGTGCTCATTTGCACCCAGATAGATACACCCAGCTGAACAGCGCCCTCTTCAGCCTGAACGGACACACGGGGTATGTGCTGCAGCCTGAGATGATGCGTGCTGACAGCTACGATCCTCATCAGGAGAAGAAGAAAGTCAAGTACAACATTAAACTCAAGGTAAGAGCCGCAGACTGGAATTTTCCCAAGGCTGCCTGCATTGAACAAAAGCTTCAAAAATGTTTATCTGAGTGCAGGTGATCGCTGCTAGACACCTGCCTAAACCGGGCCGCAGCATCGCCAGCCCGTTTGTGGAGGTCGAACTGTGTGGACACTCAGAGGAGAAGTTCAAGACCATCGTTTACCGTAAGACAAAGCTGTTGTGGGATGTCTGAGTGTGAGATCTGAACCTTTAAGAGCTGTTTGACAGTTTTGTCTCACACCTTTAACGGCTGCAGGTGATAACGGGCTGAATCCAGTGTGGAAAGCCCCAGCAGAACCTGTGGAGTTTACAGTCTACGAGCCTGAGCTCACCTTCCTCCGCTTTGTGGTCAATGAGGAGGACATGTTCTCAGACCCAAACTTCCTGGCTCAGGCCACATTTCCTGTCAAAGGCATCCGCTCAGGTTAGGAGGGGACACGTGACAGCATGCAGAGTCACTTTACAGAAAACATTTAGGACATTTCATTCAGTGGTTGCTCTTTATTTTTTTTTTTTTGCAACCTCAGGGAACTGGTTGAAAACTAGATCAGCTGATTGTGACAAAAAACAGAAAAAAAAAAGGAATAGCAAACTGAATAAGCATCAAATCCAAAATTAGAGGATACAAAACTAAAAGGGATTTGGTTTCAGCTCTACTATCAGATCACATAGATCCATCTTAAGACATGAAGGCTAGAAGTGTGGCACCAGGAGTCTTCAGCCCTGGTGCTCAGGAAGAATTGTCCCGCATATTTTAAATGTCTCCACCCTCCATACATCTGTCCTAAATAAACAGGGGTCCTTGTTTGCTGCTGAGAAGGTAACTGAAGCTGACACATCTAAAACATGCAGGACAAAGGTCTCACGATTGAAGACTCCTGTGTTCATTACATTTTATGTTTACCGCTTGTCTTTGTGCAAAAAAAGACATGCTTTAAATAGAACAGAAAGAATTCCAATAAATACTGAAGGCTCTGTAGTTAGGGTTGCCATAGTGACAGACCTAAGTAAAAAGGTGAGAAAATCCTAAAGTAAGACTGAAGTAATGGACTTATTCCCCTTCATGATGAAGGGGAACTAAGATCAACTGAGAAGATAAAACATTATAATTAAACTAAATCAGAAAAACGCATTCAGAAAAATAAGCAAAACCTGCAGAAATAGGTTAACAGAAATCTCTGCATTCTCTTTATCTCTTTTAAATCTTTTTTATTGTATTTAAAATATTTTTATACTTTTGGTTGTTATACACTTAACATCATTTATTCCTTGAAGGACATTATATTTTTTTAAAATGAAAATATCAACAAAAGTGAAACTTTAAAGATAAAATCTTGACATTTTTCTTGACCAGATGATTATTATTGGTCCATTTAATGTGAAGAGGTTCAGAGCATCACCTTATTGGGGCTTTTTTCATTTATCTAAGGTTACCGCTCCGTACCTCTGAAGAACGGCTACAGTGAAAACATGGAGCTGGCCTCTCTGCTCGTCCACATCAATGTGCAGCAGGCTGGGGTGAGTGAACGCGCTCAGTGGGAGCTTTTCTTGTGCTACTTTGGCCTCATGACCCTCTGATCCCGTTTAGAGAGCCGAGGAGGAGCTGTACTCGTCCTCCAACCAGCTGAGGAAGAAGCAAGCCGAGCACAGCGAGCCCTTCCTGTACGACACACACAGCAGCCTTCAGCGCGCCTCGCTTCCTCAGAACCAGCTCGTCCGGGAGTCCAGCGAGAGGCACAGGTATGGCTGCAATAAGTCTAATAAAAATCAAATATGACATAAAACTTTTTATTTATTTATAGATCATACATTTTTTTTTTTTAGCTTTAACGTTTAACGGTGTGGCTTAGATTAAACATCTACTGTTTTATTTAAAGACTAAATATCTGCTTTCTAATGTATTTCCTAAACTTAAAAATACATTTTTCTTTCAAATTTTGTTAATGTTGTTTGACCAGATGTTGCCACTAGAGGGCATGTAATAGGATAGATTATAGATAAATATTAAAAGATAAAATTTCATCCTAAAAAATTATTTTCTTTGTTTAAAACCTTATCTTAATTCTTATTCTTAATTCCTACCCTCTCTGAGAAGCTAAATTAGAAAGAATATCAGATAAATTCTATTAAAATTCAAAAATACTTTGATGATCCCTTAGGAAAATAAAATAAAATACAAATATTATATATATCTTATATAGATAGATATAAATATATGTTGAGTAACTGCATAAGGATTACTGTTGCATATGAAATAGAAGTGATTTTTAGTACATGTAACATGAAACTCTGAGATGTCAGCTGATGTCAAACTAATGCATGATTCTTCTTCAGGCCAAAGGAGAAGAAGATAAACAACAGCAAGTTTTACTCCTGAGGACACGTCTGTCCAGTTGTCCCAGCTGTGGACTGGAAACTTGACGCTATTAATTGCTTCCATACAGATCAGGATTGAAACGGTTTGAACTTCTCCTGCCAGAACTGAGTGATTATAACAAGCAAATGGCAACGATATGATGTTACCTATGAAATACTATTTATTCAAAATGAAACCACTTCGAGGATGTAAAATCTTTAAAGGTTCGGGGAATGTTACTGGTGTGGCGTGCAGAGTTTGGAATCAAACTGCTTCATATTATTCAGATGGTATTTATTTTAATGACAGATTCACTGATGGCCGCTCATTCTGATGCTTTTTCTGCCTTAATATCTGAATTAAGATGAATTGAAATTGAGTCCGACGCAAAAAAGATTGTTTTCAATGTTAAAATGTTTTTAGATTGTGTTTCTAAAGCCTTATAATTTACATCTTCGGGTTAATAAAGTTTGCTTATTTCAACTTTTGCCATTACCCCTGTTTTTATTTTATTCTTTCTAAGCTCCACTGTGTTAAAAATGTTGCTACCTTTTATAGCTGAATAAATTATTAAAATTTGATCTGCAAATGGTATTTTGTTGGTATAGATGCACTATGTTTGAACCTGGGTCATTATGTTTTAATGGGAGCCGATGACAGTTATATAACCTATGCTAGCCTTATTGAGCCTCTTTGCACACCCATTTCTTTGTAGTAGTTTGGAGGGTGATGGATGAACCCACTCGACTGAATACTGAAGGATGAATAAAGATGACCAGCAGCTATTATCAAATGTTCCTCCTTGTTAGTTTTCTCTGGAAGAATATTCTTTGTTGGACCGCATCAAGTCCACAGAAGTGATCCATAGAAGTAGAAAGGGGTCACATACCTTATACATAAAATGTATTAATATATTTTGTTATTTTAATGTAAAAAAATATTAGCCCAGCTTTATTTATGCAGTACTTGAAAAGGACCTGTTAAGCAGCTGAACCTCCAGGACTAATGCTGTTAACACCGTAAATCCTCAAAGCTGTGTGCTCGGTCCTCTGCCGTTTTCCACTTCCAGTTGAACCGTAGTGAATAATGCAGGGGAAATATGTTCCTTAGAGATACCTTCCTTGGCGCAACACCTGTAATGCTGTTTTTCCTTCCAGCACCATCACTGAGCCTATAGCAGTGCATTACACTCCTAATCAGCTCAGTAAAATAATGTAACAGTAATCCTTATGCAGTATAAAAACCTGCAGCATTAGACACTGGATATGTGCAAATGTTTTAATAATTTTTACTGTTCAAAAAAGGCTAAATGGTGAAGCACCATGGGAAAAAGTAACTTTGAAAGGAAAACGTGTTTGTAGTTTTGATATTTATATACTGGTTGAAAACAACCAAGTGATAATATGTGACTACATTTTTGTGTAGACAAATCATGTAAGGCTGCAAGTTTTGTATATTGTAGCTAGAGGGCGCCTTTGAATTGGTTTTGGTGTGTTTTTTTTTTTTGTCCTTCCAACACATTAATGAGTTACCCAGGTAAGTGGCCCCTGAGAGCCATATGGGAGGTGCGACAGGGAGGAGGATGTAGTGATAAAAGGCCGAGCAGATAGGAGGAAGATGACGAAACACATGGTGTGTGTGTGGGTGTGTAAGAACAGCAGGAACTCTCTTCATGCCACCATTTCATACCTGTCAGAGCAGGCTCCAGGCTGACAGGTGGACACCTGAGTTTTCCTTTTTTGGTTTGCCAGGCTTTGATGTTCTAACTTTTTTTTAAGAGGACTTCCCATTGCAGCTTTGGTCACTTCTGATCTAATCTAGGCTGCTACTGGTAGCTGAACCCAGACTGGATAATTTTGTTACTGATATCTAAGGAGGCGACAGGTTGTGCATCATGGCAGACTTCCCCTCCAAGGTTACCACAGAGACCAGCACTCCCAACTACCAGAACACCCATCAGGGGGGTAACAGGCTCAGCGGGATGACAGCCAGGGTCACAACTAAGATGGATGTTTCATTTGTGCGGAGCATCCAAGGCATACTGATGATTACTGAAATAGTAAGAACCACTTTAATTGCTCTCCTTCATAGTGAGGGAACACTAGAAAACACCACAAGCTGCTAGGCAAGATCAAATTCATCATCATCTATTAAGCACAGTACTCTTACTAATATTAACCAGTCTTGTACAGATGTTTTGTGATAGGTTTTTAAAAATGTACTTCACTGAAGGAGGAACAAAATAGGGAAATGCTTCATATATATCTATATATGTGTTTAGCAAATGTGTGAAATCCTGAATAAATAATAGTCTTTAGTAAACTTACTGGAGCAGCAATAGTTAGACTTAGCCAAACTTTATTGTCATTTTGTATGCACGGATTGTATACAAAACGAAATTAATTGCATTCATCTTACAACAGGGAAATGGTATTGCAGTTGGAGTAAGATAAACATTACCAATATAAAGTGCAGCAGTGATTAGAATGTAAAACGGTGTAGGAGGAAAAATAAACCAGTTTAAATAATGGTGCAAAAGGGCATTAATCCGAAAACATTCAGTGCAGAACAAAAATTAATATGGTGCAAAATGAACTACTAAACATTGAGTTTTGTCCTATTTTAAAGGATTCAGCAACATTAGTGCAAAAAAATGGGATGGAGTCCAGTTTAGAATTCAGCAGTTCAACAGTCTGATGGGAGCGGGAAAAAAGCTGTTGCAGAACCTGTTGCACCTTCAGCAGACGCTGTGAAGCTGCTTCACAAATCATTTCCTATAGCTGCCTAAACCGTACAGTCTGAAGGGACCCGTTCTGATCTCCAGTTATCAGCTGGTGAGAGAGGGCAGACATGGACAGGTCATGGGAATATTTCGCTTAGCCATTTTAAAAATTAGGAAAGACTAGAGAACATGATTTCTGTTAAAGGCAGATGTAAATATTATCTGATCAACTAAAAATGCTCATATTTATCTTTAGAGGAACATTGTAAAAAATCTGGAACTGTAACAAAAAGACTGGATGTGATTCATCTGTCCCTCTCAGACTAAAAACATCAAATGATTATTAAGCTTGCTGAATTTAGAGCTCATCTCCTACTTTGAGAGAAATTAATCCATTAGTTGATTTGGATTCAAAAGATCTGACGCTGATGTCTTCATAAAAAAGTAAATCAGAACAACCTTTAAAGGTATTAAGGATTCTGTGATTATTAGGTTTCCAGTCCAGTTGAAAGCAGACTGGGCTCCCTGTTAGGGCCTCCTTTAAGTGAAACGTTTAGGTCAGCTTCTGTTGTTAATACTTGAAATCAAGTTACTGTTTAGACTGAAGCAGAAACTAATTTGATGTTTATTCAAACCATTTAGTAAACCTCTGTGTCTGACATGTTTATATTAATCGGAAGGACCTGCAGGACATCCAAACAGATGAACTGTCTGTTTGAATACAGTCTACACATTATGGTTCAAGTTTATTACATTATCACAGTAGGACAAAAAAGTTCCTAAATCAAATAACTGATATGTTGACACAGTAACTGTGCTTCTGTATTGTTAGACAGACTCAAAACTTCCTTAAATAAAAGGATCTCACTTAAACAGCTAGCATGAAGCTACCAGCTGGCCTTGAAGCAGACAGCTGCCTGCGACTCTCAGGCTGAGATTCAAGGCTGAGATAAACTTCTATAAACTTAAACACCTAAGATTAGTTTATCCAAATCTTATTTTATGGACCATTTTACCATTGGAAAGGATTGACAGATGACAATGATCAAAACCTGTTTTACACCATTGTCATCATCATCACTTAGGGTTATTTAAATGCTGAATGGAGTGCGCCATTAAGGGTCTTCCCGGGGGGAACAGGAGAGGTCTGAGAGAACAATAAGGCCCACCTGAACTGTCAGATATTTTTGTTTTGTTTTCATTCAGCACTACTTTTAAATAAAAGCATTCTTTTTTAGTCCATGTTTCACACAGGTAGGGCCTCCCCCATATCCATATTCTGCTATACCATACTACTTTATTCAAAAAGAACATATGAAACAGCAACATGGTCAAAAAAAATCTGGACAAAATGATAAACAATTAGAAGAAGCAGAATAAAGTGACTGTGCATCAGTGTGTTGCAGAGTTTGTGACATGATTTAGAGTTTTTTTTTAACAATTCAGCTGTCTGATGGTGGTGGGGAAGAAACTGTTGCAGAATCTGTTGGACCTGCATAGAATGCTGCCATTTCTCTTCCCAGAGGGCAACAGGGAGAACAGTCCATGGTGGGGGTGTGAGGGGTCATTGATGATGTTACGGGCTCGGGACATGCAGTGCTGGGATGGAATGTCTTTAATGGAGGGAAGAGGAGCCCCAATGATCCTCTCTGCTGTTTTCAACACTCTTATAAATTACTTCCAGTCTGTGGCGCTGCAGCCTCCAGACCACACAGTAAGATAGATGGTCAGTATGCTCTCTATGGTGCTTCTGCAGAAGGTGGTGAGGATGGGTGGGGGCAGGTGGGCTCTCCTCATACTCCACAGGAAGTACAACGCTTTTGTGCCCTTTTCACTAGTGAGGTGTTGTTTACATTCCAGGTGAGGTTGTCTGTGATGTGCAGCCCCAGGAATTTGTTGCTTCTGACCACCTCTACAGCTGAGCTGTTGTGCAGTGGAGGGTTGTTCATGAAGCGGAATAATAACACTGGCAAGAATAATGAGGTTTAAACCACTTCCTATGAGTCGAAGTCAAAGGAGAAAAAGTGTGTTTTTAACCTCCAATAGTGAGAGTGAAGAAAATATTAGAAAGCTGCACACAGTCAGTTCTGAGTTTTTAAATGTAAGATGTGAAAAACAGCAGCAGCCGTATCTCTGCAGAACATTTGAGTTAATCTTAGATCAAATTACGTGTTATTAGTAGCAATAAGTTAAACAGCGACTACACTTTATGAACCATTTAAAGTGCTGTTATCTTTACAGGAGACTGATTAAACATTAATATGTTTACACGCAGTTCATTTGGTAACAGAAGACTTCAATGTTAACAAGCTCTGGTTTCTGCACCATAAACGTCTCCAACAAACACTCAGGTCTTATAAAGACAGGAAGTGTCCATGTTGTGGTATGATTATCATGTGACTAGGAGACCCTTTAGGTCCTTCCTATTTCCACTATAGTCCCCGTCCACAATGAGGACATGTGACTGAATGTTTCATTGGATCTTTGTCCCCAGGAGGCCAATGACTCACAGAGAGGAGCTCAGCCTTTAAAACAAACAGTTAGTGATCAATCTGCGTCACACCTAACTGCTTTATGAGTCCCCGCAATAATGGGAGGACCAAATCAGGGTCCAAGGTCCTTAACTAAAAGAAGGCGAGTCTGCAAATAGCTCATTAAAAATAATAAATAACTTTCCTTGTTATCAACACATGATATTGAGCAGAATAACTGTGAGCCAAGCCCTAAACAGAATCCTTGGAATGAGGTCATTCTGTTTGTTTTTTCTGGGGTTTTCTGCTCAGTTTTAATTACAAAAGAACTTTCAAACTGGGTCTGTGTGTCGTTCAAACAGCTGGAGAAAACAAAGGAGGTCTAACTTCTTATTTTTAACCTTGACCGTAATCTAGTAAAATACGCATTTAGAGTTCCAGAATAAATGTCATCGCTCATTAGTGGAGCAATGTTCAAACTTTCATCTCTTTATCCAGAATTTATCATGCTATTAATACCTTGAAGCACAGCTGGGCGTGTCTTTATAGAAATAATGCTGACGTTTCTCTAGATTAAAGAACTACTCTGATTTAAAAGTCCTATAAAAACCCTGTTGCTGCTGTTATTGAAGATAATTTAGTATATTTATTCTTAGGTCTTTTCTGTTCCCTTAAAGAACAGAAGTTATGGCAGGTGGTGTGCAAAGGTCACCCGAAGAGCTACGCATTGTTTGGGGTTGTATCAGGTGTGTAAAAACAGAAACATGATCTCTGCATGCATAATGGACCATCCTGTCATGTCTGAACCCTAAGAGAAAAGAACCCCGGGAAGGGGAGGAAAACCTGGAGAAACATTTTCATGAAGCTGCCTCCTAAACATCAGCATTAGAAACCTCACAATGTTTTTGGGATCTGCTTAGTGTTGGGGTCGATCTGGGCTCCAGACTGGCTTCCCTTCACACTTGCAGGTTATATCCTGCTTTTAAGAAGGTCTCAGTGAGACCTTCCTGACTATGAGGGTGAATGGATCGATCATTTCCATACTGGAAAAAAATAAATCCTTCCCTGCTTCCTCTGCTGATTTCAGAGAGAATGGGCACACAAATGCTACACCTTAAAATTAATCATCACCCGCAAGTGTGAGCAGTTCAATAAAAGCAGGATTCGTCTCTGTTTGGTACATTGAATACACATCAGGAATAACCTTAGATTAGCAACTGCTGCTAATGTGGAAAAAAGTTTCAGGTCATCTCCATCCCTAGGACAGCTGCCAAATTTAAGCTAACCTGGACTCTATAGGGATCTCTTGGCAGGTAAAAGGTTAAAGGTCATGACCCTGAACCAGACTGGTTTGCTGGGAGGGTTGAATGTGAAAGAGGGCAGCAAGACTTAGGTAGCAAAGCTACATCTGGATGAAGAACAAAACTTCTGGGAAAACACCCTCTAGAGAGACCAGAACAAAGTAGAGATGTTGGATCATGATGAACAGAACCAAATACGACATGAGCATCAACATCTCTACCAGCAACCCAGCATGGTAGTGGAGGGCTGATGATGTGGGTTTGTTTTGTGGTCACATGACTTAGATGCCCTCCAGTCATTGAGCGGATCTTGAACTGCATGGCTTTTTTTTTTTTTTTTTTTTACAGATCTAAAAGTTTATTTTTTCTAGAATACATTTTCATATGTTCTAAAGCTAAAGGGTTAAGCACAGAAAAACTATCAAGAACCACTTCATTTGTTTCCATGGAGACCCATATCTAGGGGCCTATGTTTATGCTCTAGGGTGTAGTTTGGTCACAGATCCTGAATCATTTCTCACCCTGCTCTGTTCCCTTTCTCATCTTTAGGTGGTGGGCCTGTTCCCCTGGGCGCTGATCGCCAGCACCCCATATATGCCTCATGCAGCATACGGCTGGGTGATGTTCGTGGAAGTCACTCTGTGGCTTCTCACCATCATCCTCTTCTTCGTCCTCCTGTTCAGTGTCCCACGGAGACTGACAGTCGTTCCCTGGGCTTTAACCGTAAGGCCTGTCCCATCTAACAGATGTCTTAGTGCATGTGTTACCGTTTCCTGTTTCTGCAAACCCTTGAAATCAACAACAACAAACAAGAGGACTTAATTATGTTATTAAAAAGCTCATGTTGGTTATGTAATGATAGAGTGATTCTTAAGTGAAAGGGAAGACATGCTTTAATAAATTGAGTTTCTGTCTCTGATAGGTGATGATGTACACAGGTGTGGCCACGCTCCTCTACCTCACGGCCTTCATCACCAACGCAGCCACTGCGTATGTCTTTAAAGGCTCCTACTTCTTTGGACACATTGGAGCTGCTGCTGTAAGATTTCCGTGGTTCTGTTGACATTATGGTTCTGCTCAGAGCTTCACAGCCACTCATCAGCTACGTGGACGCATGAAGTATTCTACTTTGGACTGTAGGCAGTTCCATTGTACCAGAAGAATTAGTAGTGGGTTTGATCTGAACACAGAGGTTGTAATGTATACTCCAACCCTTTCTTTGGTGAACTGTCTCTATCCATGCTGGTGGTGTCATCCCGGCTGATATTGGACCCCTCCATGATTTCTAAGTGGATGAACTTGTAAAAGAGTAGGGAGTTCAAATACTTATTTTCCTCACTGTAAGCTTTGACAAAAGGCCCTGAGGGGAGACTGAGCCTCCACTGGAGTTTGTTCAGATGATTTCTGGAACATCTCAGTATCTAAAATGTTGTAGGTGACAAGCAGCGGATGGAAATCTACAGATCAGCTGAGGGTATTACAGCCAGCAGAGACTAAAGTCTGGTTTGTTTTACAGCCACCTGATTCCTCACACCCTTTCACCCACTCAACTCAGATCTGCTTTACTTCAGATCATCTTATCAGCTCCTTTTTACTGCTCCTCTGACACACAAGTTAGTATTTAGTGGATTCTTCCAGGAACAATGGCTCATTAATTTTAGATTCAAGTTAGAAAAACTTTAAATTCTAAACCTTTGCAGCAGGAACAGATGGATCTGGCATCTTAGAAAAGAAGAAAAATGGTGCAAAGAAAGAAAAATTAAAAACAATTTAATGTAAAAAATGTCACCAAAACACTTGAGTAAAAATAAAGAAACATCTAGATAAAAAGTTGGTGTTGATACTTTCTGCCACCAGACCAGGTATTATTACAGAAAGTCAGGGATCATAGATCAGCTGAGGTGTTTAATCTCTTTCCTTATGTGTCTGTCTGCAGTTCTTCGGGGCAGCGCTGACCCTGCTGTACGGTGCCAGTGCTTACCTGTCTTATCTGGACTGGAGGGGCGATGGAGGAAACGCAGCCACCAGCACGGTGCCCACCTAGGACCCTGGGAACTCAGAAACTGCTCCTGAAACATCTGACTGGAGCTCATGGCAGATCACCAGCGCCGGGTTTTAATAGCATCAATATAAAGAGGCCCCCGGGGCCCAGTAATCATCCCAGGCAGAGCAATGGCTAAAATTATTTTTTTTACAAAATTCTTAATTTTGCTTTGAAAAACAAGGAAATAGTTGGAGGTAAAGCTTAAATGTAAAGAGCTGACCTGATGGCAGACAGGTACTCCCCCAGCAGCACCCACACATTTTGAACTGACAGACTTAAGGACAACGGACCTCCAGCAGTCATATCCCTCCCATTTAAATCCGATGTTTCTACAGATTTCCCCAGTTTAAGTATTATTTTTCTCATCTTTCCTTTATTATTTCAACCATTTGACCACAGAACCCATCAAACCAGTTCGGTTTGTCCTCAGTGTATCCCACAGATCATGAAACAAGATGGTGCTCAAGTGTCTTCTGAATCGGTTGAATGGCAAACCATTATTTCACTGTTTTTTTCACTTGGACTGAGTCAACTAGTTCTATGACACACTCCGGACCGGGTCACCCTACAGTAAATAGCTTAAGAGCTTTATTCTATTTAGCCTCTGCGACTGACATCTGACCCAGAAGCGGTTTAACAAACACAGCTGCAATTCAAAGTCTTGATTCCCAAAGACAGCTATTATTTAGAGAAATATGTTTCAGGGTTCTCAAATACCCTATTGAATCATATGAACGAACTCTGTGGAAACATATGATTTCTGTGAATTGTAGAAACCTTATGTAAGAACTCTGTGGAATGTAGAAAAAACATGTGGAACCTAGTAACCCTGATGGAAGTAGAAACTGCCTGTAAGAACACGGTAGGAACCCTAATGAACGTATGAACCATGTGCAGGAACCCTTTTGAATGAAGGAACCGTGTGCATGAACGCTGTTGACTGTAGGAACCGTGTGAAGGAACGCTGTTGACTGTAGGAACCGTGTGCATGAACGCTGTTGACTGTAGGAACCGTGTGAAGGAACGCTGTTGACTGTAGGAACCGTGTGAAGGAACGCTGTTGACTGTAGGAACCGTGTGCATGAACGCTGTTGACTGTAGGAACCGTGTGAAGGAACGCTGTTGACTGTAGGAACCGTGTGAAGGAACGCTGTTGAACTTAGGAACCATGTGGACTGAAAAGGTGAGACCCAGATAATCTGCGCTGATGTGTTCCCATCTTTTAATCCTTATAACCAGACCTCATGTAATTGCGGAGGTTCTTGATCACCCTGGTTGATGAGGAGATCAAATATTGAAGACTTTGAGATGAAACAAAACAGTTTTGGATAAACCCAGCAAAAGGGAAGGAATGTCAGAGAGCAGCTTTTTATGTAGGAAGTAAATCTAACGTTTGAAAACACTATGTTTCTGAAATCAGCAGAACCAAAATGTTTCATATATCCTCATTATGTTCATGCTGCTTCTGTCCCTAGTTTAATATCCAAATTATCAGAGAAAAATGTTTACTTTATGTTTACAGGGAATGCCCGTCCCCGACCCCATCATAGGAGAAAGCTTGCAGCAACATCTGTGTGGTTTTATGCCGAACTTTTTCTGTGCTGTAATGAGATTTTGTAAAGACTGGTTGATAAACAGGATGTTTGTGGTTATTGTTGAAACATGAGTTTAAAATAAAAGAACTAAATGCTCTTAGTTTAAAAATAGATCACTTTTAATGCTTGTGACATCTATTCACCCATCAGGATAATCTCTTCATCGACCAATTAGAATAAAAACTATTTATTATGTAAAACATGTGAGTCAGAGGATGATATCAAATGGAAGGTCATGACTCTCAGACAGACTAAGTTTATAAAATATTATAGCTACACACAGACCTTCTATCTAAGTCCATTTACAACAAGAGCTATGATGATTCACACAGGAGATGTATCCAGAAGATCTCTGGACCTTTCAGTTTCAAAATGCAGCCAGAGTCACTTCAGCAGGGTCGGTTGGAGTCTGCAGGATTCAGGCACGTCACCACCAGACTCTGACTCGAATCCACGCCTCTACCCTCTTTTGTCTGAAATTACATGAAAGCAGACAGAGTAGTTCATATGCAGAGCATCCATCTTTAATGACTTTTAGAGCAGATTTGGGGAAACAAGAATGACGGCGCCAGACACAAGTATGTAACATCTGATAACCGATTTTCTTTAAAGGTGTAGAACAGCAGCAATACTTTTACATCGGTTACACCACAGTATTTAAGCATATCATTACTAAGGTAAAAAACAAGCCAGAGAAGCTCTTTGCATGTCCTCCCTCCTTCAGTCTACTCACAGCTCTGTACTCTAAAAACATCTCCTTGAAGGCCAGGAAGTCTGTGAATGTCAACAACATGTCCAACACATCATTTGGGACTTCTTCTTTGTGCTGCCTGCAAATAAAAGCAAAAAAACCCTTTTAGTCTAATCACACCAGGTGCAAATCCACCATCTAGTGGTCAGACATCAGAACAACTCTGCCTCCAGGCATCAGGAGCTTGAATGAGACCCGAGTCCCTTTAGGAGCCTCAGAGCTGCTTAGAACCACAGAGGCAAACCTCTGTTTCAGGTTTGAACCATCTTTTCTCATCGTACTACAAGACACATACTTATGATATTATTTCTTGTTATTTTAACATTAAAACATGATTAGGTAATAAATAAGAAAGTTCACATTAGAACAATAAAACTTTAACAGTTACATAAGTTTGCTCTATTGGAATGGCAGCTCTGAGGTTCCGTAGTTATGATCTGACGGTACACCTCACATGAGCATCTTTGTGAAGGTGTTCATGTTGAATCCAGGAATCCTCGTCATCAGATACTGCTCCAGAGGCTTCTCCAACAGGTCCACCTACATGACAAATGAGCCAGAGATAAAGGATGCTGTCATTAACTAAAACAGATCCAAACAAGGACGCAGTTATCTTCTACTGACATATTCATTGAAGATTGAAGTGTAGCTGAGCTTGTTCTCATCAGATTCATCAAATTCCTGGTAATACTGATCCATGAATCTCTGCTTAAGGTGTTGAAAGTCCTCCTCTGAAATAAAGTAATGAAAATAAAGAAAACTGTTAATGCTAAACTACTGATAATAATCAGTAATTATCAGATATTTGTCTCTCAGAAATTAGAATAAAAAATCCAGAAACCCCAAAAGGTCACCAAAACAGATCCTACTAACTCCACATTCACCAGCTTCACGTATTCACACATGAGGACAGTTAAATTACCCATCATGATTTCCAATATGCAGCAAATAACAGCATCGAAGGCTGCTTCAGCAGCTGAAGAACTGGAGGAGGAAAACGAACAGAGAAAAGTTGCTTCGCTTCACAGTTTAAAACAGAAAGACTCCAAAAAGGTTCAACTGCATAGAGTATAACCTTTACCAATCTAACCAATATAAGGATACTGGTAGGCTCAGGAGTCAACACTGAGCCAATTCCTTTTGGTAGCCTAAAACCACTACTGAGAACTGTAGAGCTGAGACCACATGATGACCCAATGTCCTGCATGTTTTAGATGTGACTGCTTCCGCTTATAGGATGCAGTTTGTAACATTACCTTATCAAATATTCGCAGCAAAATTTGGCGTTAATTAGCCTTTAATATGTGAAAAAAAAATTGAGGTTAATATTTAAACTCTTATAATCACCATATTATTCATACATTTTTAAACAATTTTAACATTATAATATACACATACATAATTAAATTTACAAATTAAACATTAAGCTAGTATAATCTAATATTTAGTTCCAATCTAAATGTTTTAATCCAGGTGAAACATTTATTTTGCAAATTAAATATTCATTTTTCATACTCAACATATTAAATCCTTAAGCCCTGACGGTCTTAGGGGCAAATTCAGCCTGAAATTACATATGTAAATTAAAGCAAGTACAGCTCCCAAGCTGTACTTGCTTTAATTTACATATGTATGTATGTAATACATATGTAATTCGAAATACAATTGTTTGTATTTTGATGATGGACACTGACGAATATTTTTCAGGTGGAACCACTATTTTAAGCTTTTAAAGTAAAGTAAATACTTAGTTGTCAATTAAATATTTGTTTCCCATACTAAATATTTTTGCTCAATTTTTTTCAAAAACTGAACATTTAGCTAGCAACCTAAATTTTTAATGTGGACCTAAATATTTAACTAATATGCAAATTTACTTGCTGACAAGCATGGGTGGGTTACCAAAATAAAAGCTTGGACTTTACATCGTCTATAGGAACCACTGCTATTGTATTAGACAAGATGACTTTACAAAACACACCCCAAAGCAACTCGCATGCATTAAATGATTGCATTCTCTCCACAGCAGCCATCAGGGGCTGCAGAAAAGTCAGTCACTTATTCAAGTCTGGCAGCAAAGAATAACCTGAAACATGCAGGGCAGTGAGCCATGAGGACACAGCTATGAGCCATAACTTCTGCAGTGATTCAAGAACATTAATTTTTTTTAAATCTATTTTTGTATTTTATTTTTTATTAATAAGACTGAATGAAAAACTTTGTGTATATTTCTACAGCGGTGAGGCTTACAAAATGCACTTGGTACAAAAATGAATGATTGGATGGATAAACAGACGTCAAAGCTTGCTGGATGTCATAATAAATTAACTTTAATATTTATATGAAATTAAATATTATAATTAAATTAAATATTAAATTATATTAAAAATTTTAAGAACTCTGGGATATAAACAAAAGTGTCTGAAAGGACGTTTGGTGCACTGATCTCCTGGTTCTGTTCAGTCTAATTTTCTCAGAAATCCCAGGCCCAGCTCACCTTGACGGAGCAAACAGTTCTTCCTCCATATGAACCGGTTCTTCTTAAGCGTTCAGAAACAGACAAATCGTTGGTGAATAAATCTACAAACCGAAACTTTTCCATCTACTTTCAAACATCTGGAAGGTGCTAATGTTCAGATGTTAGTTAGAAACACAAACCTTAAACTGTTTGAGATGAAAACTCTTGTTTCCTGGATGCTTATTTGAATAAATCGTTTGAACGGTTGATCATCAACAGCTTTGGAATCGTGTTGCCAGGGTAACAGCGACATTTTGTGCGTCTTTAAATGCCACCGGGTAGAACTTGGTCTGCTCGCTTTTTAGTTCCTGTGTAATTTTCGTCGTTTTTTATATTTTATTTTATTTTAAAAAGCGATACTCACAATAAATCGACACAATAAAATATGAGCGTTTATTTTTTTCAGGAATATAGCATTCAGTTAACAAAAAGCCCACAATGATAAAATTATCTAGAGACCGCTTCAGAACCATATCTGCTAAGTATATTTTAATATAACCAACTTCAGCGTGTTTGACCTTCCAATCACAGACCCGATTCAGTGGCGAATCAAATGTCTGTAAAGTGAGCTTTCACGAGTGACAGTGAAAGCCAATCACACAAGAAAAGATAGGAGCTTGTGGGCGGTCTAAACTCAGTGAAGGGGGCTGAGGTTTTCTGTTTGGTCCTAGTGCTCTACGAATGTCTGTAGCGCACTAGGACCAAAGTTATGCATATTTACCCAGAACTAAAAGCAGATTCTGGAGATAATAATCTTAATGTTCTGCAGGTCCAGATTTCTTTCTGAATAAAAAGCTTTTGATCTGAGTTAATCAGAGTACACAATATCTGATTAATACACTGCATTTTTTAACCAACATGTCTTATTATCCTAAAAACGCCTGAATCTTCCCACTGTGGGATACCAAATGATTAATTTGTTCTAGTTGTTGGTGTGTTTAAATCTACTTAAAATCTGTATTTAGGGTTTTCATTAAGAACCATCCATAAAATCAAAATTAAACTGAAATGTGAGCAGCTGGGATAAATCTATATAATCTATACACTTTTTGAGAATTACCAAAATAAAGGATTTCCAAGTTTAATGGTCTAAGATGCAGCGGTGTGCATTAATACAATATGTACTAAACCTCTCCTACTTTAGGTATTTGTGATAGTGAAAGTAAAATCAGGTATGATTCCTTTGTATGAGAAATGGGCTTCTGCAGGACACCAGTTATCACCACTGAACTGCAAAACTGAATCAGTCTTATTTAGGATAAATTGATATTTAAGATGATTTAAAAAAAAAAAAAAAGGAAAAAAAGCATTATAGAAAATAACACCATCATTGAGAGAAACCTTTCAGAATTATGCACACCATCAGACATCCGAGGCAACCATACAAAGAGATCACACTAACATACATTTATTACAAATATCAATCAAGAAACAACAATTTCTTAATAAATCACATCTTTGGGAACCCCAGATCATAATTCCTTTATAAACATTTTAAATACAAGTCACAAATAATTACAATCCTGAACTTGGTTTCCAACCACAAAAGGCTCCTTCTCTTCCGTATTCACGTTTAAGGTGCTCCAGGAAAAACAAATGTCGACCCCTCTTCTGAAACCCATCAGTTCTCCATCTTCCCAGGATATTTTCAAATTTCTTTACTTTTTGGGCTCCGCAGGGTCTTGTTTAACAATAATTTAAGTGATTTAGTATTATCTGAAATGCTAGTGAAGTTTTTTTTTTTCTCTTTTCCTGAATGACATTCGGCTGTCCAATAATTTAGAAACCCGTTTTGAAATCAGTTCAGTAAACTCAGTAAAATCAAGTATGCAGAAGATGGACAAACTGAAAACCGCCATGTTTAGAGCACAGAGGGAAATGAAGGACGTTGTTTACTTGACAGCGATACGAGACATCTGGAGTTTTGTAGAAGAGAAACCCTGCCTAGGGCTGTGCATGAAAGAACAGTTTTCCTATGCAATACACAAGATTGCCATAATCCAATCTGGATTTCTTTACTCCACTTAAGATCTTGGATGATGTTTCAGGAGGGCCCTGTCAGGCGGAAGGGAGGGAAAATTCTGATCTTTTAGGTTTGCTTTAAGCAACAATAACAACAAACTGTATTTATGGTGAGAAGACAGACCGCATATCGAGGACTGCAAACTGCCTTCTGAACGCACAAACATGTTATCAATCACAAACACGAGTTCGATCCTCACAGAGAAGCTAAATAACCACTTTTACGGACATTTGATCTCAGTGGAAGCTGAACAGCCCACTCGGTTTCTACAGAATCGAGGCCCTTATAGTTTCAGGGTACACATCTGAGCTTACAAGAAAACACCAGAAGCATCAGGATCAGGAAAATCCCTCAGATCTAACAAACTACGTGACATTTCTTTCTTTTGGACAGATTTTAAACAATTCATTAAACTGAATTTAAAAATATAATCCGTCAAAGGCAAAAGTCTGATACTAAGCCAAATAAATCGTTTTTTTGGGCATACGATCCATAAAGACAGAAGTACAACAGGAGCTGGAAAATAATAAAATGCTACCTTTAGAGCACAATATTTAGCATATCCATGAAATTAATTTACTTGTACCTTAGATTTAATACTGTACTAAAGGCTGCTTTCTCCTCTGCTGGCCAGCCCTTAAAACTGGCGTCACGTGCAATATACTGCTGGGGTTAAATAGAAGTGGAGTCCAAGAGAAACGACTGGGGATTATTTCTGGATAAATTTACAGTAAATGAGAAGTTGGTTATTTATGTAATTGAATTACACAATCTCTGCTCCGTGCATTAACCCTTTTTAGTCTGGAAAAAAAAAAGACGAAAACAAAAACAGCAGAAAGCTGCAGGCGCCTGGTTCATCCCTGTGATCAATATCAGGAGGAGATTCAGGAAAGTGAGGAGGAATCCAGCTGTGGTTTGATTTCCACGTCTTCTACCTCCTTTCTTCTTCTATTGTCCCCTTCACCGCTGCCTCCAAGGACATAGACCTACAGATCTTTCAACATTAGAAAACCGCCACACCTTCGTTCTTCTTGGATTCATGAGAATGAAGGAGGAGGCAATTGTAGGCTTTGTGTATATTTCCTCCTGGCAGGAGGAGGAGCTTGAAGCTTGTCAGGAGACATGTGCAATGAGTCTGACTCGTGTCTGGATTTCCTGGCGACACAGGGGGCACGTCTCTAACTGTAAGGCACACTCCATGCACATTCCACTGAGAGAAAAGCAAGACAAAGACACAAAATGAGATGAAATTTGAAAAAAAGACATTACTGGGACCTGCTGCAGCCACAGATCTTTATAGCGGCATGTTGATGCTTAGGTCTGCATACGTACCCGTGTCCACAAGGCCTCAGTTCTGTATCAGCCATCACGTCACAACACAGCGTGCAGCAGTTGTCTCGGATGCTAACCTGTTTCAGTAAGGCCAGACGCCGGTGTCTGGAAGGAGACACATTATACACATGAATAAGGACAAATGTTTCCATGGCAACGGCGCATGTAAGTTCAGGGCCAAAAATAATCTGCGGACTAAACCTTCCATTGACCTGTGTAAACCGAAAGCCACTTCAATGGGATTGTTTGATGGTAAAATAGCACAAAGTGAAGCATCATTATAAACTGGAATAAAAATTATTCATAGTTTAACAAATGGTTCTCCTGCTAAAAGGTGAATCTCCACCCCAAAAATCAGGTCTTCAGCAGCCTCTAATCAGTTTTCCTTCAGGACCCTCAAGGATTCTTCCACCTTTTCTACAACTCTGATCAGCTTCTCTGTTCCATAATCACGATGCTGCCATCACTATGCTTTATACAAAGATAATATATACTTAAAATATCTTTGGAATATACTAAGGTAGTAAAACGTAATGAAAGTCAGACAAGAAGGAAAGGACTAGAGTCAAAGCTCCATGAACACAAATATTTCTCAATGAACTTGGACAGGTTTAATTTAATTGGTGATAGAAAGCATGTAATGTTTTCTGCAGAGTCACATCGGCCCAGATGAGACAAGCAACAATGTCTATATCTTACCTTGGCAGGATGATCTTTTCACCGGGTTTTAGGGAGGCGAAGTCATTAAAGGTGCTAAACTTCACAGAGGGAGGATGATGAAACGGCTTGGCCCCAAAGTTAAACTCGCACTGCTGGTACGACATGAAGCTGGCTGCTGCAAAGAAACCAGACCTGGAAGAAAAGCAGAAGGTTTCATTTTCAGAAAATATAGGCTGAATCTAGAGAAAGGAAAGATGCTGGGAGTTGAGGAGTAATTTTGGCTGAAGGAGACAAATGACTGTCAGTGTGTGCAATCTAGCTCTCAGAACAGGGAGAATTACTCAATGGTTAAATCCCATGTAAGGTTGTATTCTATCCTCCCTGAGCATTGCTGCACAGTTTGGCTGCAAACAATGTTAAGGCTTTGCACAACTTCAACAATGCAGTCAAATACTAGGAGCATTAAAGGTGGTTTGCTCTGAAGGTAGAGAAGGCAGCACTTCTGAGCAGAAACCCAGTGTTTAAACCAAAAACCAAATCAAACCAATTAAAATCCAAATCAAGAGGAAAGATCAGGTGTCTATAATCAGCTGGCTGCTCATTCAAGCCCCTACTACTGTCAATTTTTGTGTCCCTGGGCGGAACACTTCCACCCCCTTACCCTGCTGGTGGTGCAGATTGTATGGCAGCCTCACTTCTGTTGATCTACACCAGAGCAGCTGTGTCTGTATCTTACTACCATCAGGGTGACTGAATGTGAGGGAAGCATTTTGGAATTTAGACTTGATAAAGTGCTATACAAGTACCAGCCATTTACTATGAAAACCTATTAAAAGTAAATAAAACTCAGACTTTGCAAAAAATGAAAACAATTAAATGGGGTTTACTGAAAGTAAATATTTATTTAAAGATTTTGTGAATGAATTATTTCAACAGGGCTCGATGTTAACCATTGCCTGTTCGCCCGGGGCAAGTAGTTTTTATTGTCGGCAGAGTACAAATTTCATTGCATTTGCCCACCAGGCAAATAATTATTTATCACTCAAAATTACTTTAAAATAACTGACATTCGATGAAAATGACCCAGAAGCGTTGCCGCTGCCATTTTTGTTGTTTTGTACACATTCTCGCTTGATTTTCCGCCAGATGGCGTGATTTTTGTCCGGGAATTGGTGTGAATCAGATTTTCAAATTCAAATTTTTTTTGACTTAGCGGGCTAAAAAAACAACTACAAGGC